CCACACCTAGACAGGAGGACGATTAGGGTCCTCAACCAAAGCCTTTGGCTCAAAAGCCTAACCACAAGGCAGCGGTGTTTGGCGGGAAATGCACATGCATTACCATTTCTACGGAACAAGTCGCCACATGTTCCAATCCCCAACCTGAAGGGCCAGCAGACTGTGTTCGTCCGACCTTTAACTATTGACCAACTTGGTGTGAGACTGTGAGTGTCGCGAGACACTCCCCAGTATAGCTCAATGGGTCGCTGAGGTGCGCAAACCGTCACAGTATGGTAAGGCCCTGTCTCTTCGTGACGGCCTTCTTCGGCATGCGCTTCACACCTGAAAACTATAAAGTGCCACTACAAGATTGGGTGAGATAGAACTTCAGCCTCATGATTGCGGATGAACCGAGTGAGGTAGTAGACGAATTTGTTAACCTGGGGAGCTGTATTAGTCCCGGTGGTCTCGCGAAAGATTATATGCTCTTCGGATTGGGAAGACCAGAACAGCTTTTGTGAACCTGCGCCACCTGTGGCAAAGGCGTGATAACTTCTTTGCCAAGGGTCGGGTTTACAATGCTGCGGTTCGCTCTATACTACTATATGGATCAGAAACCTGGCCGGTGCGCGCCGAGGACGTCAAAAGACTTTCAGTTTTTGAACATGGATGTCTTCGGAGCATTGCCCGAATATGGTGGGAACATCGGATCAGTAATGCTGAAGTTCCTCAAATAGTATTCGGGAGGAATAACTCACCCTCGATAGATGAAGTGATCACACTGTGTAGGTTCCGCTGGCTTGGCCATGTGCTGCGTATGCCGGTCGACTGACTTCCTCGAAGCGCTGTTTTTGCAAAATCACGTGAAGGGTGGAATAGAGCCAGAGGAGGTCAAACACTGACTTGGCAGTGAATTATAGAAACCGTTACCAGCAAACTCAGCTGCGCTGGTCATTACCGTCTTCCAGGATGGGGACCTCGAGGCGCCTCATATCAACGGTTAGATACATTGTCAGATATGGCCCAGTCGCGCCCTCAAGGGCGCTCCTACATCCAAGCTATTACCTCCAATGCATAGCTCCCTTCCCAACCCTCCCAACTGACAGTTCACCTAAGGTGCTGTATTTACGCAATAATTTATCAGCTCTCGCCTCCAATGCGCAGCTACCTACCCCACCTCCCTGAATCATCGGCGAACGAAACTGTGGCAGCCACAACCACTGTACGACAAGTACATGGTTAATGCAGCTGACAATGATGATGACTTGGAGGCCACCAACCACTAGATAGTCATGGACTCAAGTGGACAACGTGGCTATCAGTTACCGATGGAAAGCGTCAATTAAGGACTGTGGTTCCTTCTGGGGTACTCAGCTTGACTTTGATCATACCATTGTGCGAGCCTGGTTGCCACTTTGCTATCTATCTGTACTACGAGTGCCCAGGCAGAGAAGCTCCATACATCAACTTCGACAACCTTCATTAGCCCAAACGTATCGAGCTAACCTGGCTAGAAAGCTACTGGAATCAGTCATGTGGATGTTGAAGATTGCTTGCAGGCTGAGTGAAAGCGAATGAAAGAAGCTATGCTCTCAGCTTTTAGGTTTGCCTGTCAAAGCCATTCGACTGGACTAAATGAACAGTGGATGTTATCGAGATCAGCAGATCTCATTACTGCCAGAAAGGTCACACCAGCAACGAGAGACTGTGAGGGCGCACGCAGAACCCTCAAACACCGAACAATCAGGTGTCTGATGAAGGACAGGGAACGCTCCTGAATTTCGAAGGTTCGAGGGATGGAGATTCGATCAAACGGCCAAAAAAAGACATGCGAAAAAGACGGAACGGCAATTCATTCACAAAACCGTCGCCCTTATCTCTG